CGTTATCATGGTCAGTTCTACTCTAAGGAGGCAGCTCTTCCCCAGTTGCATTTCAAGTGCCGTCCAACATGAGGGGCTCATTTTCCGGCACTATATCTGACAGTGTTTCTCTGCTGTTCATAAGGTTTTCAGTGACTAAATATTCAGAAGTAATTTGTCACTCCTTCTTCCTAGTCTGTCTTCGTCTGGAAGCTCATCTGAAACCTGTCCACCATGGGCGGCCCTGCTGGTATTTAAAATACTGGTGGCATAGGTTTCAGAATCACAGCAACTCACAAGCCACCACAGTACGACAAACTGACAGACGAGTGGTGGATTTTTGTCCATAGAACCCTTCAATATTGCAAAATAAGGCTTGAATTTTTCCTTCACTTATTTCAGCTTAGGAAATGCTGAACGTGTTCTTCCTATTTGCCTTTCTAACTCCAGGTCTTTGCACACTTCATTATAATACTTGACTTTTTCTTCTTAGTTACTCTTTGAAATTTTATGTTCAGTTATTTTACCTCTTCATTTCTTCCATTTGATTTAGCATATTTACCCTGGAGAGTAATTTTCAGAGTCTCTTATGACATCCATTTTAGTCTTTTCCTTCTTTCTTATTTTCTTAACAACCTTTACTTTCTTGCTGTATGATGTTCTTGATGTAATCCGGCAATTCTTCTGGTCTTCTGTCATTAGCATCTCATGCATCAAATCTGTTCTTGTGATGAGTTCTTCCATTTGCTTTAACATTTCTATGTTGGAGAGCAAGTTTCAGAATCTCTTCTGACCTTCATTTTGGCCTTTTTGTTCTTCTTTGTCTTCTTAATGACTTTTTGTTATTTAATGTTCTTGACGTCGTTCCACAAACTCTTCTGGTCTTCAGTCATTAGTGCCTCATGCATCAATTCTGTTCTTGAGATGATTTTTAAATTCAGATGGGATATGTTAAACGTCAAATTTCTGGTCTTGTTCACTTGTTTTAATTTTCTTAAGCCTCAGCCTGAACTTGCGTATGAACAACTGATGGTCTATTCCACAGTCTACCCCTGGCCTTGTTTTGGCTGATGATATGGAACCTTTTCACTGTTTATTTCCATAGATGTAGTTAGTTTGATTTCTGTGTATTCCATCTGGTGAGGTCCATGTATATAGTCGCCTTTTTTGTTGTTTAAAAAAAGGTATTGCAATGAGGAAGTCATTGGTCTTGAAAAATTCTATCATGTGATCTCCAGCATTGTTTCTATCACCAAGGCCATATTTTCCAATGACTAAGGAGCTCTGGTAGCATAGTGGTTACAAATTGGGCTGCTAACCTCAAGATCAGCAGTTCGAAACTACCAGCAGTTCTGTAGTAGAAAGATGAGGCTTTCTGCTCAAGTAAAGATTTACAGCCTCAGAAACCATGTGCAGAGTCGCTATGGGTTGGAACCAACTCAAAAGCACTTGACAACAACAACAATCCTTCTTTGCAAGGTGTTCTAGTAGTGTAGTGGTTACGAGTCAGGCTTTTAACCTCACGGTCAGCAGTTCGAAACTATCGGTAGTTCTGCAGAAGAATGATGAAGCTTTCTGCTCCCGTAAAGATTTACAGCCTCGGAAACCCTATGCAGGGTCGCAATGAGTCGGAATCAGCTCCACAGCACACTACCACCACCATCAATCCTTCTTTGTTTCCAATCTTTGCATGCCAGTAATTATCAATACACCATAATTGCATGTTTGATCAATTTCAGACTGAAGAAGTTTGTAAAATTCTTTAATTTCGTAATAACTGGTTTTAGTGATTGGTGTGCAAATTTGAATAATAGTAGTATTAACTGGTCTTCCTTATGGGTGTATGGATATTATCCTATCACAGACAGCATTATAATCTAGCATAGATGTCAAAATATTCTTTTTGATGATGAATGTGACACCATTTCCCAGCATAGCGAACTGCTGCAGTCAAAATTTCAGCTCATGATTTCCTAGGATATTAATCTTTGCATTTCCTTTCATTTTTGACAACTTCCAATTTTCCTAGATTCATACTTCTTATATTTCATGTTTCATTTATTAATGGATGTTATCAACCTTTTCTCCTCAGTTTGAATTGTGCCCCATCAGCAAAGGAAGGTCTTGAAAGCTTTACTCCATTTGTGTTAGCAACTCTGTCTTTGAAGAGGGAGCTCTTCCCCAGTTGTATTTTGAGTGCCCTCCAACATGAGGGTCTCATCCTCTGACACTATACCTGACACTATTCTGATGCTATTTATCATGTTTCAATATTCAATATTCTGGTACCATCTGACAGTGTCCCACGGCTACTCATAGGATTTTCAGTGGTTAAGCATTCAGAAGTAGTCCACCTCTCCTTCTTCCTAGTCTTAGTCTAGAAGCTCAGCTGAAACCTGTCCACCATGGGTGTATCGTGCTGGTATATAGAACACTGGTAGCCTAGCTTCAAGCATCACAGCAACACACAAGCCATCACAGTATGACAAACTGACAGACGAGTGGTGAAAGCTAGTCAATGAATAAGGAAGGCCAAAGAACAACTGAAGCATTTGAACTGTTATGCTGGCAAAAAATACTGAAAGTACAATGCACTACCAGAAGGACAACCAAACTGGACTGGAAGATTTACAATCAGAGTGCTCCTTAGAAGCTAGTATGGTGAGACTAGAGAAATACATTATGTTTAGTGAAGTACAGGATCAGTGAAAAAGAGGAAGACGCTCAACTTAACGAGACGGATTGACAGAATGGCTGCAACAATGGATTCAAACAGTCCTGATTGTGAGAATGGCATAGGATCAAACCGTGTTTCTTTCTGTTGTACATGAAGTCATGGTGGGTGGGAACCAACCAGACAACACATAGCAACCCCATTTTGTGTGCTCACTGTGTGCCAATACTTCATGAACTTCAGACACTTCATACCCCATCAGAAAAGTATTCATACAGATGATGAAACTGAGGATCACAGAAGTTAAAAACTTGCCAGAGTCTGCATAGCTTGGAAACAGCAGAATCAGGACTTGAAGTCAGATCTACTTAACCTCAGAGCTGTGTTCTTAAACAGGACACTAGGGGACAGGACTGGTTGTTAACCCATAGTAAGCAGACTGCCCTGAACATCAGTGATGACTAGGATGTCTGGCCTACCATGTAGCCCTGAGCACAGTTACAGGCTCTCTCTAAGCCTCAGTTCCCTCTCCTGTCAATGCACAAAGTAACAGCACTGCTCAGTTGGACTGTGGTCAGGATTAATTTAGGTAACACAAGTAGAGGCCAGTGGTGGGTGTGGTGAGGATGGAGGTGATGAGGGAGTTAACAGGAGACCAGGGGGAGGTGGGCTGGGACCACATTAAGTATGCACTGGGTACCAGGTTTAAGAGTTTCAGTTTTGCTAGCAAACATTCAACTTGCTGGTTAGGAAAGAATCAGTATTTCATTTTAATCACGTTCCTAAACAGATTAATTACAGAACAATCCTAAAATGTCTGGCTGTCCAGATTTTAATTTAACTACACATGCCAAAATGATAATAGAGTAGAAGAAAGTTTTCATTGCTTTGCCATTAATTTTAAAATAAGCGAAAGCCAAAAAGCATTAATTTTGGAAATAGGATTTACTAAAAGATCCTACCTAGGACTCTGTATGAAGCATAACATTAAAGAAATGCTTCTCATTTTATGGATTTCTAAATTTTAATATGGCTTATGCTTTATGGAAATGTCTTATAAATATACTCCCACACATAAATTCCTGAAATTCCCAACATTTCCTTTGAAAACGGCAATAAAGGGATTTGTAATGAAGGAAGGAAGTTATACAGTTCCTCCAGTAATAACTTTGCGTTTGCTCATGTTTTTATTCTGGTGAACTTTTAGCAAATGCCTTTCAGAGCCTCCATCCAGTTGATGTGTTAAAACCACACATCAGCAGCGCCTTTCTTGAGTACAAATGATTTAGTTATTTTGAATCCCCTTCTCTATGTTGCCCAACATTTAACTTACTACAGTTTCTATTTCTCCCTCACACTATTCCTCCAAGCATGTAACTAAAAGGAATATGAACCCAACATTTCATTTTCAATGTCCAAATTCAGAACAAAAAACCCCATAAAGTTTGTGTGAATTTTTATGATAGGGTAAGGACAAAGACTTTAAATGGTAACATTTACTTAAAGATTTCCTTAGGTTACAAATTTCAGGTGTAAGTATCTTTGATCAGCCAGAAGGAGGGTAAGGTACATGGATTAGATTAGAATGTCTCCACCAGACTAGGGGGACCCTTCAGTCAAATGCCTTTGGTTCTTAGTGTATCTAAGTCACTATGAAACATGCTTCACTGGTATGAAATCTCAGTTTAGAAGGTAACGAGAAGGGATAGAAGCATGGGGACCAGGCAGAAGATTGAATCTGACTTGTTTTGAAGAGCATCAGTTGAGACTGAGCTTGGTGTTGGCTGTCTTTGGAAGGGTAGAAACCTTTTCCTATTTGATAGTGTTATGGGTTGGGCATTGGAATGCTGCTCACAAGGTTGATGGTTCAAGCCCACCAGCTGCTCTATGGGAAATAGTTGAGACTATTTGCCCCTATAAACTCGGAAACTCTATGTAGGGTTGCTATGAGTTGGAATCAACTTAATGGCAATGGATAGGTTTGGGTTTTGAAGCCACCCCTAACTCGGAAGGAACTTTAAATGGTAATGAAGACTTACGGTAAAGAGGAAAAGGTGAAAATAGGGGCTAAAATGACCACAAATAAATATTTTAACTGGTTTTCTTCTTGGCTAAACTAGCTAAAATTTATTGAAGGCTTATGTACCAGAAACTTGCTTTTACTTTTGTTATCTTATTCAAACCTTGGGTAATTATCTCCATTTTACAGAAGGGCACACTGAAACCAGTGAGGTTAACTGACTTGCCCAAGGTCACACACATTCAGTCGGCTGTGGAGCTACTGTTTGACTCTGTGCTCCCCATTGGTCCCTAGAACACACCTGCAGAACCGATTCCTTATGCCTACCTTTCACATTGATATGCACGCCCTTGGACACGGTCAGCCCTTTTTCATTGTGAGCCTCACAACTGAAGATCGCAGTCTCAGTGAGACCTGGAGAGGAAGAAGAACTGTGAGATCAGTCTGATTCCCAGACTTTACTTTAGCATCTTTTATTTGCCTCAAGTCATAAACACAATGTTAATACATAAGTGTGCTGACAACCAAGCCAGTGGTTCAGCCCTGAGTCCCAGGCAACTGTGAGTCCACAAGGCATCTATTCTTCATTCAGATCCCTTATTTTTCTCTGCCAGGGAGGCATTCGGTAACAAGCAGCCTCAGTGAGAATTTTAATTACCACAGGAGGTGAGGGAATTGCTAACGTGCTGGACTGCAAGGTCAATTTGAATCCCAAACCAGCAGCATCTTGGGAACCCTAAATAGTGTGGTTATGAGTCGGAACCAACAAACAACAATAATGCCACGAAGAGTGGTTTCTGAGGATCACCCCGACAATACCCTGTGGTTTTGCACTTAGTCCAACTGTATGGCCTCATACATTTCACCTTTTAAAAAATTTTCAGAAGATCTGATATTGTAATGGGTCCTATTTTCATGGTGAAAGTGTCCAATTTATAAGGAATTCGTATATAAACATAAGACATTACTAAAAGAGAACCCACTAATGCAAAATGAAGAGAAGTTTTTCTCATTTCAGAGGATTGAAAATGTCTTAAAATTTTTTTAAAAAAATTATTGTAAACTGAGTGAAGGCTTACAGACAAGATAAAAAGTTTTACATTCAACAAATTACAGTTTGCATCATCTCAAAGATTGCAGTCCACCTCCATGCAACAACAATTATCTCATTTCTTCCCTGTGGTTACCCATGCACAAATATCCTTCTTCAAACTCTTACATATTTGTGAGATATTATATATCTTCTCATATACCCATTCAAGGAGCTCTGCTAGCATAGTGGTTACAAATCGGGCTGCTAAACTCAAGGTCCGCAATTCGAAGCTACCAGCCATTCTGCGGGAGAAAGATAAGGCTTTCTGCTCCGGTAAAAATTTACAGCCTTGGAAATCCTGTGCAGGGTTATTGTGACTCTGAACCGACTCCACGGTACTTAACAACAACATACCCATTCAGCCTATGTCTCTGTCCATATGTCCACAGAACACAGTTACTCCAAGGGTGTGTACAGATCACTATTTACCTCTGTCCCCTTTAAGCCTTGCATACCTCCCTGTATCTTCACTTATCTTCATCATTCTTCTGCCAATCACTCTTCTTGTATATTGCCCTCTCCCTTCATGTATATTGCTTTCTGTATCACCAAGTAAACAAGTGAAAGAGCAAAGATGTCAACTTGAGGACTAAGGTGTGCCTGACCCAAGCCATGGTATTTTCAATAACCTCATATGTATATGAAAGTTGGACAAAGAGTAAGGAAGACCACAGAAGAATTGATGCTTTTGAGTTATGGTGTGGGAGAATATTGCTTTTTCCATGGACTGCCAAAAGAACCAACAGATCTGTGTTGGAAAAAGTGCAGCCAGAATGCTCCATGGAGGCCAGGATGGCCAAACTTCGTCTCTCACACTTCGGACATATTGTCAGGAGGGACCAGTCGCTGGAGAAGGATATCATGCTTGGTAGGATGGAGCGTCAGAGAAAAAAAAAGGAAATCGACCAGTGAGATAGATTGGCCAAGTGGCAGCATCAATGGGCTCCCTCTCTCCATGGCCCCATCTCTGCCTCTGTGACTAGCATTGCTGCTTCTCTGGATAAGGTCCCACATTCTGCTTGTGCACTTCTCCCTTGATGGTCCTAGGGTCCTCTGTTTCTGGACTGTAAGATTAACCACTCCTCTGTTTTTGTTACAAAATGTCTACCTTTACAATTGTGACAGTTGCAATTAGTCATAATAATTATTCACTATTGAATCATACGAATCTTATCCCCATCTCTTTTCACCAGACCCATCTAGACAAGATGAAAACTATTCAGTGGGGACTCTTTCTCCCCCGTGCCCCCACACTCTTAAACTAAACTCCCTCTTGAAACCTTGTAGGCCAGTCACTTCATGCCTTTATCCCCCCCTCATTTTAGTTAGTCAATGTGTAAGTTCCCCGTCCCTATCTACCCTGTGAACATTGATACTTGATGTGAAGACTCCTTCCCTCTCTGTTGGTATTTAGAGTTAACTACCTCTCTAAAGAGGTTCATCAAATTGTAGCAATTTACCCTTGTTTCCGTTAACAAAACAAAACAAAACAAAATTTTTTTTTGTAATCTTTCTTTTGCCGAGTTCTGATTATTGAGCCATCTAGGCTAGGTCAAAAGGCTGCAAGTTTGGGTGTTCTTGTGCATCTCCCCTCACTTCATATCAGCTAGATGCTTCACTCTCAGCTCTAGCCCTCTGTGGCTATGTCCTTGTCCGTGGGCTCAAATGTCCTCAGGGCTCACCACACTTTGGACCAACCAGCACTTTCTCTTCTCTCTCTCATCTCCAGGTCAATGGAAGTCAATGGACTGTGGTTAGACTCAGCCCATTTCGTCATTGCTGCCTTTCCCCCTCTTCCACTCATCAGCAGACCGATGTGGTAACCAGTAAGCATACTTGTTTGTTTGTGTGTTCCCTTTGAGTTTCAGTCTTAGAGGGGAGTTTGTCCTGAAGGAACTTGATTGCTAGCCTTGATGTCTTTGTGGTGAACAGCTTGCTTAATCTTGTAGTAGCCAGTCATGCTGACATTTTTGTTTAGGGTTTTTCCTGCCGGTCTTTCTTTGAAGATGTATCTTCTGTCACTGTAGCTGTTCCAGGCTGGTCTGCTTGTCCTTTCTAGAGGGAATGCCCCACCTGGATGGGGCTCAGGATTCCATTAAGGTCCTATACTCTGTAAAGGCTTTTCCAGAGGCCTATTTCACTGGGCAAGTTCCAGAAGCCCTTTTAGGTATTCTAATCAGTTATAGGCTGAAGGCAGGCTTACAAGTTTTCTGTAATCGTGTTTCCCAACATTCCTTTCTATCCCACTCAAGTGTCTATTTTATAATATTAGTCAAGGGAAACTAATATTCAAAAGACAGTCAAGCATTTTAGTATTAGTTCCCCTCTTCAAGCTATATCTAGATCACTGTATCCCAGAGCCCTGTTGTTCTGAGGTTGAGCATGCATCTCTATTTATCTCTGCCCCACTTAGGACATGCAATCCTGTCTCAATGTTCCCCTGTCTATCTTGTTATTCTTCTTCCTCCCCCTTCTTGTATTGCCCTCCCTAACACCCAAACTAAACCTCCCACCCCAACCCCACTGTTGTGGTTACCTGATATTCCATTAATTCTTCCCTCCATTTAAGAAAGTCTATTTTATCCAGTAATCTACCTGACCTTCCCACCACTGGATCTTTGTTCCTCTGTGTTTACCTTCTTTCACACTGTAATTGTTTTGATCATAGACTCACCTCCCAGATCCTCTGTTCTTATAATTTTATTCTGTTCTTGACTCTTCCATTTGTCATTTAAGTTCAGGATAATGCTGCCACGTACGTCATTCTGTAGTTGTTGTCTGTTCTTGTTGGTTCTCAGTCCACAGAACTTCCTTTAGGATGTTTTTCATAGCAGGGTTGGCTTTGGCAAAATCCCTTAGCTTCTGTTTATCCTGGAATGTTTTGATTACACCATTGTATTTAATTGACAGCTTTGCTGGGTAGAGGATTCTTGGGTGGCAGTTTTTTTCTTTTAGGGTTTTATATATGTCTCCCCATTACCTTCTTGCCTGCATGGTTTCTGTTGAGAGATCCGAGCTTAATCTGATTTGCTTACCTTTGTATGTTACACTTCTCTTCCCTAGCTGCTTTCAGGATTCTCTCCTTAGCTTTGAATGTAGAGAGCTTGATTATTATATGTCTTGGTGATTTTCTTTAGGGTCTATCCTTGCCGGGGTTCGCTGAGCTTCTTGAATGCTTATCTTTTCGCTTTTCAGAATATAGGAAATTTTTCTTCCAGAAGCTCTTCAACTATCTCCTCTGTGGACTTGTGTGATTCTTCCCATTATGGAATGTTGATAATTCTTAAGTTATTCCTCTTCATGCTGTCCAACATGAATCTTGGGCCTTCTTCAGATTTTTTTTAGCCTTTTTTGTGTTTGCTCTTCTGTATAAGTAGTGTTGAGAGATTGATCTTCTAGCTCACTAGTTCTGGCTTCTATCTCTTCAATTCTACTCCTTTGCCCTTTCAGTGTATTGTCTACTTCTGATATACTATTATTAATCGTTTGGACCTCTTTCTGTAGGTTTTGAAATGTTTCCAATGCTGTATCTATTTTATTTATTGTTTCTGTAGTGCTTTCCTGACTTCTTCCTTATTTTTTTAAACTCCATTGTATAGTGTTTTGATACATGTTATAATCATTTTTCTGAATTCCTTCTCAGGCATTTCCAAAGCCTGCCCATCTTCCAGTATGGAGTGGAGGTCTACTTCCAGCTCATTTGCCTCAGTCACTTTATCTCGTTTCTGGACATGTGCAGATATGGTCATCTGCTTCTGTTTTTTGTGTATATTCAGGAGTTATCTGTGGCCTTAATACTTAATGGCTGTATATTTTAGTATTTTTTATACTTTCTGATTGCCTCCAGGTAGATGTGATCAGGAGATGGGCTTCCCTTTTCACTCTTCTTCCTGAGAAATTTCAAGATGCCACTGTTGATCATTGTGTCATAACTCAGGATTTAATTTTCAGCCTATTTCCTATGTTGTCTGCCTATCTTGCTCCACAGTCCTCATTCAGGTCTTTTTTCTAGTTATAAACAGTTCAGAGTCAGCTGTGGCCATTTGGTTTTAAGTGGAAATTGTCCCTTTAAATTTTGAGATCTGTGCAACTTGTGTAGTAGAACCCTCTGAGGGTGAGGGTGTGGTGTCCACTTGCTCAGGCATCCCCTCCAGTCACGAGAATGGAGGTGCGCAGACAGCAAGAGACCAATGAACAGATACCACCCCTATCCCCACAAAGAAGAATGTCTACACCTTTATCTGTGCCATTCTATCAGGCGTCCATGGCTATTCTTATCCTTCTCCCGCTTGGTGTCACCCAAGATGGCGGCTCCAGGAGC